TGGTTTTCACATTTTAGTCTATATGTCAGATGCCACGCCTCTTATGTATCGGGATTAACGTTTCTGGATTAGAGGAATTTATATCCTTTAAATCGGTGTATGTTTCATAGAAATCGAGCGAACGGTGCCTTCAAAAAGGAACTTCAAACTATTTTTGTGGCGTATTTATATACATATCATAAAAATCTATGTATAAAAATACATATATAAATTAGTTTAAAAAAATATTTAAAAAAAGCTTTGCTGCCCGACGACTCGGACTCGAACTCGGATCTCTCAATTGGCAGTCTAGTACTTTGCTCACTCGGCCGTTGCGACTGCTGAGGCAGCGTGAGCAAAATGGCATAATGTCTATTGTTGCCTTTACACTAGCTTATTTCGAATCAGCATTCGAAGCTGGCTGCGATATTTTCGAGTTCAATCTGATTTAGTGATAGCTAATTTTTCGTATTCATAGCAAGCATTCGAATTCGTAGATTTTCTACGATGGATTCCGTGATAGCCCTGATTGACCCTACCAATATATTTATATCTCGAATATGAGGCAAATCGGACAATGAGATCAATCGACCACACTTACCTTGCTTAGCCCCGTCCAACGCATTTCATGGATGGCGGTGAGGTCAATCTTTATTTTCCCGTGGACATCAATCAACCGGGCAGTGGCACCTTCCCGATTAAGGGTCCGGATATTCCAGATGCATACCCTCAAATTATAGTCATTTCTACGTTTACCGTGATTGTCATCAAAAGAAGGGGGTATCATCCGAGGCATGGTTTTTTCATTGGGCAGGGTTTTAACATACAGGGACCCAAACCCATTTAAATTCATAGATCTACATACCTGTATACCAAATAGCCGGCCAAAACGTTATTATAAATAAAAAATAAATAAAACAATTTCCGTATACTATGTCATATACCTCTGCAATTTTGTAAGATAAACTAAAAATGTATACATCGTTGCAAGCTGTAATTACTTAAGAAGTAAACGTCTTGGCTGTTCACCAAACCGGTCTATAGTTTTATCAATAATCTCTGATTGGTTCTCTAAAACAAACTTTAGATTTACACTTAGAAGACACACACGTAAAGACAAAGTAATAAAAAATTTAACTATATATTTATTTATTAGTTTACCGTTCAATCTACTTTCGCTCATTGTCTACTACAGCCAGGTTTTTACCCTTCTATCTCTCCCCTTCTCTAAAACAAACTTTAGATTTACACTTAGAAGACACACACGTAAAGACAAAGTAATAAAAAATTTAACTATATATTTATTTATTAGTTTACCGTTCAATCCACTTTCGCTCATTGTCAACTACAGCCAGGTTTTTACCCTTCTTAAATGTTATTATTGAAGTTAGCAAGAATAACTTGAAACGTAACCAGTTGATCCTAATATTCACTTTTTTAATTACGAAAATTTACAAATGATTTTATTAGCATTGAGTGTATGAATTTATATATCACAGCCCACGGCAGTGCCCGGGAGTGACGTAAGCAGCCACAGTAGCATGCTGAAATGGCTCGTTATAAGTATATACACGATATTTAGAAGTTTTTATCCAGACGTCCAATCGTCATGTTTGAGGTATAGTTGGAAAGGTCTTGCAGAGTGCGTCCAGAAAATGTATTCCAGCTTTATAAACGATTAACCGTGTTCTTAAAAATTAGGCTAAAGTGTTGCGAAACAAAAAACGTGTTTTTGCTTTTGCCGGTTTAAGGAGGGTAAGTGGGTACACCTGACATATTTAGTGTTATTCTATAGATCAGTTGGAACGATATAGAGCTAAATTGGTTTTGGTTCGTGTCTTCACTACGGGATGCTTTGCGATGTGTGTACACTGAAAATAAAATTTAGTAAAAGTGCTATGAAAATCTTTCGTAGTGTTGGTTTTTGTACAATGTACGAAACTTTCGTTCATAATACGAACACATTTTTCACAACGAAACAAGATTTTACGAACCATACGTAAATATAACGAAAGGACTTTCGTAAGGCATTTTTTCAGTACAATTTACGAAATCTTACGTTTATTTTACGAAACACATTCGTAAAGCACTGAACAAATCTCTGTACGAATAATTTTGTATATTGTAGGAAGGCATTCGTAATATTTACGTATGGTTTTAATTTATCGAAATCTATTATTCTGTATTCGTACAATTTAGTTAATACTTTCGTATAAAGTACTAATGTTTTTTAAATTCGTACAACATACGTATATTTTCGTACAATATACTCAATTACCGGCAGTTTAATATTTCATCATATTTTTTGTATCGCGTGTCATTGCGGAATTAATTGTTGGCTGCTGTGAAACGTATAATATAATTTTAAACGTTTTAAAAAGGGATTTGCTGGATAAAAAAATAATACAGAATTCAATATTAAAGCTGTGGATATGGTTGGTTGGTTGAAGTGGCGAGTTTAACAACTCCAATTAGCACTTATGCGTGCCGTTTTAAAACCACTACTCGCAATTTAAACCTGAAAAGAAAGCCCGAAAATAAAGCAGCAGAAGTCGGTTATATATCTTAAACCCAGCCTGTGGAGTT